ATGTATTATCCACATTTTACAGATGGGGAACTGCGGCACAGAGAAACTAAATGATTTGCCCAAAGTCACACAGTAAATCAGTGGGTGAACAGAGAATTGAACTTGGGTTTCACAAGCACCAGGCTATCACCCTATTCTCTGGGCCATCCTTCATCTCAGTTTTCCCAGTCCTCAGCTGATGGAGATGGGATTTTTACAGGGCTTTTATCTCAACCATTTGCCAGAAGTTTGAGTTAATAAGGCCTTTATAAAGACAAACAAAAACACAGAGCTTTAAACAGTTTGACTAAACTGTCTTCTATCTCATGAAAAAAACTGCAGCCCTGGTTTCAGACATTTGTGATGTCACTTTCTCTCTAGTTCTTCACTCCTCCAGCAAGAAAAGGCAAGTCAAGACCTGAGATTTCAAATCTTAAAAAAGAAGCAGGGAACAGAAAGTTTAGACTTAATTAATTAAAAACCAAAAGCTCTTTGGAAGTCTTCTTTAATATCATACAGCAACAACAAAGAGGACAGTACTTTCCTTTTTTGGCAAGGCAGTTCACCTTTAAATAGGCTTCTATCTGACTTCCAATTTTGTGAGTACAAATAAGTATACCTGTAATTCATTTTTTATATTTGCCAACTAACTGCAGTTAGCAAAGGTAACATTTAAACCACCTGATTTGTATACAGAAGTAATTACTGAAAATCTGGCTCATTTTTGAGTAATCTAAATGAAAAGACACTCAAAATCTGAATTTTTAAAAAGGGGATATATTCCCCCTCTGCTCTTGTGTAACACAAAAATGGCTGATAATTTTCCATTCATATTTCCGCGCGGGGGGGGGGGGGCGCATAGCAAATTTCATCCCAAAAGATCATTTGTTGTAACTAATCTTGAAAAACAAAGCCAAAGAGCCTTGCTTATTATTCATTATTTGTATTGTGCTAGTGCTTAGGAGCCCCAGTCCTGGACCCAACTGTACTGGGCGCTGTACAAACAGAGGACATTCCTTTCTCTACCACAGACTTCCCGTATGACCTCTGGCAACTCACCTTGTCTCTCTCTGCCGTATTTCTCTACCTGTAAAATAGGGCTAATAGTACTTCCCTACCTCACACTAGTGTTGTGAGAATACAGCCATTAAATCCTGTGAGCTGCTCAGATACTATTGTAATGGGGCCATATAAGTCCCTTAGCTAGACAGTATATAAAGACAGTCCCTGCCCCAAAGAGCTTACAGTCTAAGTATGAAGAAAGAAAACATACTCCCAGATGCCTTTCAGAGTTTGCATTAGAAACATTAAAGACAATAGGGTGTTAGTGTGCACACGTCTGAAACTTGAAATAAAATTACATCGAAAGAGACTGAGATCAGATCTACATAGGAGTGCTTTGCCAGTATAGCTGTACCGGTGTACTATACCGACAAAGCGTTCCTAGTGTGGAAACAGCTTAGATTGGCAAAACTGCGCTTTTGCCTTGATAGCTTCTCCTAGCCTCCCGAGTAAAATAAGCTGTACCAGTAAAAGCACAGGTTTTGCTAGTATAACAGTGTCTATATTAGGAGCTTTTCGTGGCACTGCTACATCTGTCACAGATTACACCTTATTACACCTCGACCGACAAAAGACCTGACCTAAAACACCAGCCTTGCTAAGCATCTCCTATGCAGTTACAGACTTGCATTTGTCTCATGAATCACTTGTTTTAGTTGGCCCCCAGCAACGGTATATTGGAAAAGAAAGAGGGTGAGTTATATCAGGGAGAGCTCCTGCATTGGCCTGAGGATGGACTAGATTGCCCCAGGGGTCTTTTCATGATGGCTAGAGACAGATGTGTTTGAGTCAGGATCTAGGTTAGGTTTAAGTGAGGGTTAAGAAAGCAGATTTAAGGCCAAAGCAGCACTAGGGTTCAGATACCAAAATCTTGTGAGTTATCTTAAAATCCCATGAGAACAACAGTTCTTGTGAGACTTTTGACACTTTGTGCTGCATCCAACTCAGAAAATAGGCATCTACCATTTTTGGATCTGTAAGAAAAATCATAGCTACTATTTCAGATCCAAGGATTTTATCCCATCCCTTCCCTGTCTTTTAAAATGGAAGGAGCTGTAGATCTCAGGATCTCATGTTCAAGTCTGGTCGGTCTGTATCTCTTCTATTATTTTTGCTCTTTCTTTGAACATTTCCAGATTTCTGTGGCATAGGAAATTCCAAGAAATGACAGTGGCTATTTTGCCTCAGTACATGTTCCATATCATTTCTTCAGTCTTAATTGCAAAAACTCCCTGGACTCTACAGCTCTCTCCCAACTTCACCATGTGTGCCACCACTCAGACAATTCAAACAGGAAGACAAAATATCAGAAAACCACTATAGCCATAGAACTCAGACCTTCCTACCTGTCACATTCTTCTTACATAGGAGTTACGCAGCATGCTCTTTTAAAGCATATAAATCGTTTAAAGCATGGTATATTTAGACCTGGCCATCAGTAAAGCTTTATGCCTTGTAACTGATGCTAAAGGACCTTGACAGCTTCTAACTCTCTTGCCTCATTACTCTTCTGAATGTCTATTTAATACATTTGATGTTATTCATTACTGAGCTAATAAAGTGTTGAATTATGACAGAGGTAGGATTTCATTGGCAGAGGATACAACTGAACAAATCCAATCTCTAGAGGTAGTAAAAGGAAGATATGAACTTTCATTAAGGACAAGCCAAGTTTTGTTTTTACTGAGAGGCTGTAGCCAGGGCCAGCTCCAGGCACCAGCTTTCCAAGCAGGTGCTTTGGGTGGCCTTCAGAATGGGGCAGCAGTCCATGTCCTGCGGTGGCAATTCAGCAAGCGCAGCGGCAATTATGTTTGGTGCTATAGAGAAAGGTGAGCTGGTCGAGGGATGCAAAGATGGGAGGATGTGGACAAAGCAATAGGCTAGGGAAATTATCTTTGCTGCAGCATTTTGAATGGATGTGAGAAAAGACTGCATTTGTCAGGGCCAGAGAAAAGAATATTGCCATAGTCAGGAGGCAAGAAGATGAGAGCCTGGATGAGAGTTAGCTGTGTGGATGGATAGGAAAGACTATATCTTAGAGATGTTATGTAAAAAGAAACAGCAAGACTTAGACTTAGATTGGATGGGGGGACCTAGAGAAATGACGACCAGGTTATAGGTCTGAGTGACAGGCAGGATGGTGATGTTTTCTATAGTTATCAAGAAAGGAGAAAAAAAGACATTGCCATATGGACATCTGTTTGGTGAGCTACAGTTTATGAAATGAGTTGATGGTCTCTGTGACTTCAGATCCCAATGCAATCAACATGGCACCTTTCAAGAGCACTTTTAAAACTTATTAAAAATACATAAGAAAACCTATCCAAAACCTTAGTTATGTAACATTTCTCTTGTTCATTAGAATTCGTTATTCACAGGATGCCAGGTGCTTCCTGTATGATATAAAGACTGTCTCCAGCTGTGAATGGAAGCGATTTAGCATTCAGCTACAGGATCAACTCTCCTAGCTCGAACCAGCAGATACACTGTTACATTTAATCCAGACTTCCTTATCGATATTCAGGAGTTTTGCCATTGACTTTAATAGGGCAGGATTTCACCCATAGTATGTCGCAAACAGGAAACCCACTTCCAGCAGTTGTTTTATTAACAGTCTGTGGGATTTTATTTGTGGAGGATGCACATAAAGCAGAGAGTTTGGAATAATAAATAGACTTTTAAAAAGACAGTGCTATTATTGACTGGATACAGAGGTTAAACTCAATTACATCTCATCACATTTCCATAAAATAACTGAGTGTCCGTGGGAGTGCAATCCGAGAAATAAATGATGTGGGCAGGTTCATCTGGCAAGCTTAATTGCCTTGTGCCATGGATTTTGTGAAGGGGTTTGAGAACCCTGTCCTCTTCCTGGATCAAGCCATGTCTCATTCCATGAAAAATATACTGTATTCTGGTGTAAACACTTGCAAGTACAATTTTAAATTTCACTTTCTCCAAGCTTTTGTGTGAATAAATCTTGAATGCTTGTGTGCAGACTTCAGGCTTTGACTATTTGAATATTTAAAGTTTGATTTTTCCCTGAAAAAAAGATGGCATCGTTGTGTTCAATTTACAAGTAATACAGACTCAGATGCGGTGGAATTTGTGTCTTTCTTCTGCATTTGAGGCTGAGAGCAGGATCTGGGGAATTTGGGCAGTGGACCCGTGATCTCTGCAGGCTGTGAGGGAGAGATCCATGGGGGCACCCCGCATGGAACTCTTCTACCACTTCATGGCTTGAGTGCAGGAAAATTCCTTCCATCCTGTAACTCAGGTTGTACCCTGGGGTATGGGTTTGTCCACTTGTCAGTAGGACATCAGTGTGACCTCTATATCACAAATGAGTCATACATAATATTACATTAGTCACTGAGTCATCCAGCTGGTATCCAGAGTTCTCCGAGTAGCAATTACCCCAAATTAGTACCAATGGCACTTACAGTCCTGTGCTTAAAGTAGAAAAGGTGCAAGTTAAAGTTGCCTTGAACTGAGCAAATTAGGCTGAGGCACGCTTCTGCCGTAAACCATGAAACTACCTACTGTCCACTATCCAGTAGGTGTTGATATTAAGTGAGGTAAAGACCAATAAAACAATAACATTTTAATCCTTTTTTGAATCCCACTAAGCTCTTGGCCTCAGTAACATATTGTGCCAATAAATTGCATGAGTTAATTATGAACTCTGTAAAAATATTTCCTTTTTTTCAGTTTAATATTGTTTGCCTTTCCATTTCATTGGGTGTCTCCTTGGTCTAGTATGAGAAAGGGTAAAAAGGAGCTCCCTATTTACCTTTATAATCTTATTTTGGGGTATTGTTTTTAGATCTAGTTTCTGCCATATTCTCAAAAGGATCATCACTGATTTCAAAATATATCCTTAATGCCATGGCTCCTTATGTTGTTATGTAACATGCAACGTGTTACCTTCAAAAAGCAGTAAGAATGAATGTAGTTACCGAATTAAGTCTAGCAGTGCATCTGCAGAGCTCATAATTGGCTTTCCACTCTCTTCAGTGTTCTCCTTCTGGGCTGCTCCACCAGGATGGATAATGGAGACCATAATTATTCCCACAATCACAGCCACAAATGTTGTCCACAGATAGTAAGTGACAGTTATGATGCCTAATCGACTGGAAGTCTTGGCATCCAAGGCTGCTAGCCCAGACATTAAGCTGTAGAAAAAACAAACACAAAAAAACACACAAAACATATAGTATCTTTTGCATATAATTATACAGTGTAAAACCTCATTTCTTAATTATTCTAATTATCCTCCACCTACTTGTCTATATAATGATGCTTCTGGAAGGAGCTTTTCGATCCAGATGTCCGAGATTCAGTCCCCAGAGGTGACTGAACCTGGGACCTCTGGATCTAAACGCATGTGCCTCTACTGTCCAAGCTAATAAAAACAGATCCTAGTACCTTGAAAGAAGTAGCTGTTTCACAAAACTCCATGCATGGTCTCGCAACTGGCAGGAGACAGAGCCACACTGTGCTAATGTGGGTTACATATGGTTCCCTCACTGGGAAATCAAATCACTGCTGTGGGTGCGTGACTAGATTGATGGACTTCTTTGACTACCAAGACCACTAATTTATGCAGACATACCCACCTTTATTGAAATATTGACCCTAACCCTGGCCATAGGCCGTGGAGCTGAGGCTCCAACAACCTGGGTTGTTGCCCAACCACCTTTTGGCTCACCACAGCCCAGCTTGGGGCAAGCGATCCAGTGGGGTCAGGGCCAGGAAAGGAGTGGGCTGGTGCATCATAGTGGGGATGACCCTGCTGGCACATGAGAGCCAATGGTCTGGAGCAGGGAGCCAGGCCAGCCCTGTGGGACAGGAGCTGCTGCGGGGTGAATGCAGGGTGGACTCACTCTCCAACCCTCTCGGCTGTTCCTGGGTCACCATGAATTTCATCCCTTGCCTCATAATATTAACAGACATGCTTTCTTCTTCCTACTAGCTTTTTCCCCTCGATATGTTTGTAAAATTCATTCTCCTTCCTCTTGGCCTTTTGGGCTAGTATTACATTGTTCTACTATTTTGTTGCTCTTTTTTGCTATAAGCTGTAACTGACACTGCATTCACGTTTGGGTGTTTCCACCTTTAAATCCATTAAAGAGTGCGAGTCACTCAGCTGCTATGGTAATGGACGTCATAAGTACCGATGATACATACAGAGACTATTAACTTATAGTTAGTACTCAGATGTGCTTAACTTATGGTTATTACTAATATGTGGTTAAATTACTGTTGCTGAGTGAATAAACTGACCACAGCAGTTTGTTACTTTATTAGTGAAAAAATAAACTAACCGGAGATATTCTGTTTAGCCATTCCAGTAATGTATCACCTTATTCTCAGCGTCAAAGCTCCATGTGCATTTTGGCACAAGTAAAATAAGTACATATTGACTGCTCTATGAATCTCAAGGGACCGATTTTCAAAATTGTCCATGGAAAAATTGTGTGCAATTGGCACCTGACTTGTACATAACTTTACTCTGCTTGCACATGCAAATTGAAGAGTTACATAGAAAAAATGGTCAGTTATATGTTTAACAGGCTATTTGTGTGTGCAATGACAATTTCTAGAATCAACTGCGGTAACCACATGTGCAACCTAGGCATGTGATTGTGTCTGGTTTTTACATAAAAGTATAAAGATTGAAGAGGGTTTTGCCATGAGCCCTGTGTCAGGGCAATGTGTTCTTGTGCTTCTCCAAGAGCAGACCAGGAAGCAGATTATGATTCATTCTGCTTCCCAGTTTCCTCCTGCTCTAGTGATGGGGTCACACATTGTACCAGCCCTCTGCTTGGTACAGTGACCTGGTGTAGCTGCACTGCCCCACACATTGGGGAGTGAAGCCCATACCCACCCTGCCCATCCATTCCTCATCCACCTATGTGGGAGGAGGACCAGAGGCTCTTCAAGCCCCCAAACATCACACAGCAACCTTTGTAGTGCTTTACTGCCCCCTAATTTCACTGCACAGGCACATAAGACAGGCCACCATCTAGCCCTAAATTTGCTCAGCACTGCTTTGAACTAGGCCCAGGATCATGAAGATTTATGTTATCTCAAGCTGTGTTACAATTTACTAATAAACCTGGAAACACCAATGTTTCACTTGGCTTTGGTTAATGTTTAATTTTTAAAACAATTTCTAGTTTCCTTTAAATATAGAGCACAGTAAAAAAAAAATAAAAAGGTGCAGTACAACACGTTGTCAAGTTTTAGTGTGACCATTTCATGGAGCTGTTACCATTATGGAGAGTCGCTTGTCAAATCCTTCATCACAAATAACCATTTATTAGCAGACAACTCCTGATATTTGCAGGATCCCCTTCATCTTGCACTGTTTGGTGAAGTTGTCTAGAGCTGAAGGGCAGCTTAACCTTAATAGTAGATTGAGTGAAATAATAGTGATGGGATTTAATGCTCAGGTTCCTGCTATCCAGTAGATTAATTAAGAAAATGCATTGTTTTTCTGCTTTGCCAATCTCCAGTCCAGCATGTTTTGTTATCAGTTCAGAGCAGTACTGGGGGGAGGAAGGGCGAGTATTGTTCTAAAACAAACAAAAAACTATTTTATAAAAGTTAAGTTAAATATTATAAGTAATCTAACTTTCACAGGATCATTTTATGCAGAATAATTTTGATGTTAATTAGACTACTGGAATCAAATTCTGCTCTCCATTACAATCTTACAATTATACTGTTTTCTGAGGTGTGACGGAGAGCAGAATTTGACCTTTAATTGTCAAATGGTCCCTGGAAGAAAACTGAAATGGCTTGATCAAGAAGGTACACGTTTGTTCTAAAGCCGGGTTACAAATGTAGCTCCTTTTTCAGTTTAACAGAGCATTTGCAAACTGTTGCTGATTTTTTTCAAATGTATTTGTTATTCATAAGAATTCACTGAGCTCGCTTGGTCTATTTGCCATTTGATATTCACATTATATGATTAATCCGCTGAGTCACATGATATTGATTCTGTGCAGGTACTGAAACAAGACTAATGAATAAATCACTTCCAAATAATTAAATAATAAATAACTTAAAAATTCATGGACCTCTAGAATCGTGAACATTTTTACAAATACCCTGCCATTGTCTGAATACACATGAACAATTTGATCATACAAATCCGAGTGAACTGAACTGTGTGCCTTTATTTGAAAAAATATGAACAAAACATTTTTGCAGGATCACCCTATCAAGAGAAGAAGGAGGAATTGCCTTTGTGCCCTAAATACAGGTTAACACCTTTTGAATCTAACACATAAATATACTGACTCCTGACAAGCTACCTCAGTAAAAGGAAAAACTCAAATGTTTCTGTAACATACAACCAGTTCTCTAGTTTCACACCAGTCACCATTTTTAATTATTGTTACTTATATTACAGTGCCACCCAAAGCCCTTAATCAGATTCAGGGGTCCTTTATGTTAGGTACTGGACAAACAGAGGCAGAGGGAGGCACTGATCCCCTGGCTAGCAGATCTGTAACTAGAAAGATGTGTTCTGTGGCGTGGACAGGGAACTAGACTACAATACTTTGGTTCTATTCCTGGCTCTGCCACTGACCAACTGTGTGACACTGGGCAAGTCACTTCTCTGTGCTTCTGTTTCCCCTCTCACCCTTTGTGTGTCTTATCCATTTAGATTGTAAGCTCTTCTGGTTAGGGACTGTCTTCTACTACACCGGACTGTCAGGGGCCTAGGCTGCAGCAGGGCCAATCTCCTGGCAAACTAATGAGTGAAGCTGGCCCTGATTGACCTGCACCTGCCTGCTCCAGCCCCCAGCATCTTTCTGACTCTCAGCTGAGACCCTCAGCTCCACCTTCTAACTGTGACTCTGGTTAACCCTTCAGCTTAGGCTTCATTTTTTGACTCTGGCTCTGATCCCCCGCTGTGCTTTTTGACTGTGACTCCAATTAATCTTTTGGCTTTGGCTTTTGGTCTCTGACGTCCAGCTATTGCCCTTGGCTTCTCTCCTGGACCCGCCCCATCTGGATTCATCTCTAAGTGATAGGCCAGACTCTTGCTCCAATCAGTAGGCCAGACCACCTATGACTCGGTTGCCGACAGTTTAAGCAGCCCAAAAGATTGAACAAGGGCAGGTAAGGGGCCAGACTGCCCTTCAGCTGGATTCTGTGGAGACAGCCATTTATTTGGACGATATTCTGTGGAGACAGCCATTTATTTGGACGATATTCTCATTCTTTCCAAAAACCAGATGCTGCACAAGCAACAGGGCCCATGTTCTCAACACACTCTGCCAAAACCATCTTTATAACAAACTAGAGAAATTTGAGTTTGACAGAGATACAATCGAGTTCCTCTGGTATATAATTTCCTCTGAAGTATCTGCCATCTCCAGGTAGAATGCCCCAAAAGTTTAGTGGTTTCTTGGGCTTACCAATTTCTGTAGGTTTTATCAAAGGATTCTCTCACCTTTTTGCCCTGAAAACTGCACTCCTTTGAAAAGGGGTCCACTTTTGTCCGGTCATCAGAGACACAGATTGAGTTTGGTCAGCTAAACAGATCTTTTACCTCAGCTCCCATTCTCGTACACCCAAATCCTGCCAAGACCTTCACCATAGTGGCAGATGCTTCGAACTTTGCCATTGGAGCCGTTCTGTCACAACATACTGGCTCTCAAAACCAATTCCATCCCTACACCTTTTATTCATAAAAACTAACACCCACTGAGAAGAATTATGATATCTGAGACAAGAAGTTACTGGTGATAAAGGCACCATCTGAAGAATGGAGATAACTTCTAAAGGGAGATCGGTTCTTGGTCCTGGTCATTACTGATCATAAGAATCTGGAATATCATCAAATCACTTGTAACCTTAAGCAGCTATCGATCTACGGGTCACTTTTCTTTGTCAGATCTGATTTCATCGTCAGCTATTGCTTGGGATCATGGAATGGGAAGACAGATGCCCTGTTCCACAAGGACTCATATGCCAGGTCAACAGGCTGATACTTAAGCTCAGTAGCAGTAGCAGTCCAGTGGCTGCTGAACACATTCCTACCCTGCAGCTGCACTTGGTCCTGTCCCTGTCCCCACTGTCTCTAGCCATGCTCCTGCTCCACCCCCCAGCTTCTTCCTGACTCCTGGCTCAGACCTTTGGCTCTGGCTTCTGA